ATAAAATCTTTCTTATTTATGTTTTATGAATAATTTTATACTTCATCGGGCATTAATTTTATTTTATTTTTTTTTAAACAAAAATCTTATGCTTTATGGTCAAATTTTTGTGCACTCCAAATAGTTCTGACTTGGAGAATTTTGGAGGATGTTTCTGATAAATGAATTCTTTGTATAGATGTGAAATTCCAAGGGTTTGAGCGTGAAACCTTCCTAGGAAGGTCTTACTTCTTCAAACCTTAGGATGGGTGAGGAAGATGTTGTGAAGGGCTACACCTTGGTATATAGTCCACAATTAAACTGACAAATGAGAGTAATTTTATTTTAGATTGGTCATATTAATTCTTATACAACACAATTTTTCATTCTCATCCTTAATGTGAGGCCTGCTTTGCTCAAAATCACCATAAACTTACTGTAAATGGTCATATCATGAGCCATTTATTTATTTTTTTTTGGGGGGGTTGTGGGGCGCAAAATACTGCAGAAAATTCGCATGGAATAAGTGGTATTGTAAAATCTGTGGGCAAGTGCTTGTGATATGCACTTCTTTATGGCTTTTATTTGGGTTTTCTGTTAATTAGTTCACTGGTTTTTATTCTTTGAATTACATTAAATGATACAGGATAACAGCAGACAGAGAAATCCAGCTTATAGAGATGCTACTTCTTCTGAAGAGTTTGTTGCTGACAGCTGCTATGTTTTTCCAGTCATGGCCCCAATGGCTAGTTCATCTTCCCCTTCTGGTGGTCTTGCCTGTGCAATAGCTGCCCTTGCTGAACGTCAGCAAATGGGCAGGGAAACTTCTTTTAATAACCCTAACGGAAATGTGTCAGCCTTCACTATACTTCCTGTCAGCAGTAGGTTTTACAACAGGGTGGCACCAGAAGCAGAGAACTATCATCCAGCAGGGAGCTCAATTGACATGCCAGCCGATTGTAGTATTGCACCAGCAAGGGATGAAGGTGAATGGGGTGTAGATCCTGCATCAGACGTTGCTGAAGCAGGGACAAGCTATGCAAGCTCGGATGTGACAGAAGGTTCTGGTGAAATTTCTGTGGTGCCACAACCAGCTGAAATTGGGGGCCCTATTCAAAATATCCCTGGAATCGTGCCAGAGAGTTTTGAGGAGCAGATGATGCTGGCAATGGCCGTATCTCTTGCTGAAGCTCAAGTTGTGACTAGTGGGCCAGGCGTTCCATGGCAATAGATTTATGGCATAGCTACAAATGGTTGTTTTTCTCAAACAGATGTCAATGGCCACTGGGTAGTCAGCCAACCGTGCTTTGACAAATCCTCAAATAGATGCACGCCGACTAGTTGAAGGTGAAGGTAATGATGATCTCTTTTCCACACACTATAATTCCATATAAAGATACTAAAAGTAGCAGATTATTTGATGGAATGAAATGTTGTTTGGTTATGTGGTATTCATAATGAGTCAGATCCCAAGCCTAAACTATCTTGCACCATCTGTTTCTGAGTTCACTTCTTTCATTTTTAGCCTTCTGCAGTTCAACATGCTACATGTTTCAAGTTAAAATGAAGGTTAAATGCTAATTTTGGTCCCTCAACTTTAAGGGATGAAAAATATGTAGATTCAGATAAATTTAACGAATTAACTGACAAAAAGATTAAGAAAGTACAATTTTCATAGTTAAGGGATTAAAAAAGTGCATAAAAAAGTTAAAAGATAAAAATTATGTAAAATCTTAAAGTTGAAAGATCAAAATTAGCATTTACCCTTAAATAAACCCATAAGAAATAAAAATGAAATTGCCGTGATATGCGTGAGTCCTAGAAATTAACAATTAATTGGTGTCGTATCTTTGGTTTTGAGGAGAGCGGAGAGGAAATAGACCTTTTATTTAGTTGTTAACAAACCTGACGTAAAGAGAAGCGAAGTTATTTATCTTATTTTATTTTCTTTGCCTATTAAAGGAGGGGAGGGGCTTGCACTTGGCCCGTATGGCCCAGTGGTTAGAGCCACTGAAAAGTGCATATCCCCCTTCTTTGAGCGGATTTCGAACCCGTCCCATGACAAAACTGTTCAAAAAGAAGAAGAAAAAGAAGAAGAAGAAGAAGAAGAAGAAGAAGAAGAAGAAGAAGAAGAAGAAGGAGGGGAGGGGCTTGCACGGTTAGAGCCACTGAAAAGTGCATATCCCCTTTCCTTGAGCGGATTTCGAACCCGTCCCATGACAAAACTGTTTAAAAAGAAGAAGAAGAAGAAGAAGAAGAAGAAGAGGAGGGGCTTTGTTTCTCTAAACGATTGTTTCTCTAAACGAAATACACTATTATTATGACATTTTTTTGAAAGTAGCGGTGTCCTGCAA